AGGAGAAGTGCTCACTAACACAGATTTAGACAGATTTGTGAACAATATTTGAGAGAAATAGGCCTTTTGTGTACATAGAAAAAGTCTTAGATCTGTGAGTTCAGCTCATGAAAAATGGGGGCAAAAACAAAAGTGTTGCGTTTATATTATATATATTTTAAAAAACTTTTTTCAGCTAGTTGCCAAGGCAACATTTTTCATTTTCATTTTATTGAAGTTAAACGAAATCAGAATATTTAATAAAAACACGCACTCACACACACACACACACACACACACACTCACGGACACACTCACTCACACACACACACACGTGCACGCACACTCACACACACTCACACATCTCTGTGTCTAATCAGCATCTTGATATGCCACACCTGTGAGGTGGATGGATTATCTCGGCAAAGGAGAAGTGCTCACTAACACAGATTTAGACAGATTTGTGAACAATATTTGAGAGAAATAGGCCTTTTGTGTACATAGAAAAAGTCTTAGATCTTTGAGTTCAGCTCATGAAAAATGGGGGCAAAAACAAAAGTGTTGCGTTTATATTATATATATTTTAAAAAACTTTTTTCAGCTAGTTGCCAAGGCAACATTTTTCATTTTCATTTTATTGAAGTTAAACGAAATCAGAATATTTAATAAAAACACGCACTCACACACACACACACACACACACACACACTCACGGACACACTCACTCACACACACACACACGTGCACGCACACTCACACACACTCACACATCTCTGTGAATGCAGTATTTTTTACAGTGGCATTAAAATATTTCAACTTATGGATTTTTATCTATACATATTCTTTAATTTTTATTAACGTTCTTAATATTCGCTATATTATTTTAAGGCAACTACACTGCTTTTATGTGTCTTTATTTCTATTTTAATTTAATATGCACTTTGAAATGCTGTAAGTGCTTTATAAATACATTTGGCCTGACTTTAATAGTTCAGTTGGGCATAAAATCTATAATAAAGAGCTAATTGTTATTATTTATATTTATAAAAAGCCCTGACTTCTCATATGCAAGTGTCAACATTATTGATAGTATTGAAGGTTCCAGTGTTTTTTTCTCCTCTGGTCTAACGCTCGTGTCTCTGGCGTCCGCAGGCCGTCAGCTGGTGCTGGAGACGCTTTACGCTCTGACCTCCAACACCAAGATCATCACTGAGGCCATGAACAGAGGTGTGTGAGTGTGTGTGTGGACACGTCTTCAGTGATGCTCTGGTTTAGCTGATCTTAGAGCAGACGCAGCTGTTTGTGTCAGTCTCCTCTGACCTCTGTCTGTCTCTCAGGTGCGCTGATCTACCTGCTGGATCTGTTCTGTAACTCCACCCATCCTCAGGTGCGCACGCAGACAGCTGAGCTCTTCTCCAAGATGACCTCGGACAAGCTGGTGGGGCCCAAGGTAAGACTCCTTCAGTTTCTCCCGTATCGGATCGTTGTTTTGAGTTAAACGGACAGTGTTTTCTATTTCATTGCCAGCACTACTGCATGTGTTTTATCACTCGATCACCTGTGTGTCTGTCTCTCTCAGGTGCGTCTGACGCTGATGCGCTTCCTGCCGGCCGTGTTCATGGACGCCATGCGTGATAACCCCGAGGCGGCGGTGCACATATTCGAGGGAACGCACGAGAACCCCGAGCTGATCTGGAACGACAGCTCGAGAGAGACCGTCTCCACCAGCGTCAGAGAGATGATGCTGGAGTGAGTCCTCTGAACTCAGATCAGTCCTTCCCCTTCCCTCTCCTCGGTTCTCCTGCTCACTCACTCTGCTTCTGTTCCCACAGGCACTTCAAGCAGCAGAAAGACAATCCTGACGTCAGCTGGAAGGTGAGATGGAGCTGAATTAGGGCTTCCAGTTTAGATTTAGTCTTAATGCTCAAAATTAAGAGTTCGATGAGATTTTTAAAAATGTTTCTGCATTTATTTGACCAAAAGTACAGTAAAACTGTGAAATATTATTAGTTTCAAATAGCTGTTTTCTATGTGAATCTCTGTTAAACTGTAATGTATTTCTGTGATGCGCAGCTGTATTTTCAGCATCATTACTCCAGTCTTCAGTGTCACATGATCTTCAGAAATCATTCTAATATGCTGATTTGCTGCTCAAGAAACATTTCTGATTATTATCAATGTTGAAAACAGTTGTGCTGCACAATATTTTTGTGGAAACTGTGATACATTTTATTTTTCAGGATTCACAGATGAACAGAAAGTTCAGAAGAGCAGCATTTATTTGGAATAGAAATCTTTTTCTTCTCTGTTCTTGCTGAATGAATGTGTGTGTTTCTGCAGCTGCCGGAGGATTTCTCGGTGGCCTACGGAGCGGGTCAGGGCGAGCTGGAGGTCGGCGGGGTGTTCCTGCGGATCTTCATCTCTCAGCCCGGCTGGGTTTTACGGAAGCCCAGAGAGTTCCTGGTGTCGTTGATGGACACTCTGACCGCACTGCTGGAGAAGAATAACCCGAACGTGAGTGTGACTGCAGCAGACACACAGGATTGATATGAGTGGCCGTCTGTATGGATGTGGTGTGTTCTCCTGTCACAGGGTGAGGCTCTGGAGACGGTGAGCACCGCAGCCGTGTGCCTCTTCAGCACGCAGATGCAGCTGGCTGATCAGGTTCCTCCTCTCGGTCATCTGCCTCGTGTCCTGACCGCGCTCAGCCACAAGAACAACGCCGTGCCCAAGAGTGCCATCCGACTCATCCACGTGCTCTCAGACAACGAGGTAGAGCTCAAACACACCCTCTGCATGTGATGCGGTGAATCTGAGTGTGGTTTGATGATGGCTGAGCCGTGCTGCTGTCGTTTGTCCTGCAGCTGTGCGTGCGCTCCATGGCAGCGTTAGACACCATCGGCCCGCTGATGACGGGGATGAAGCTCAGGGCTGATATGGCAGGACTGGCCTGTGAAGCTCTGAACCGCATGTTCCAGCGAGAGCAGACTGAACTGGTCGCACAGGTGAAGCACACACTAGAGCGTTTTTTTATTAATTTATACACTACTATTCAAAAGGTTGTGGTTGGCAAGAGTTAGGATTTTTTTCACCAAGGCTGCATTTATTTGTTTAAAAGTACAGTAAAAACAGTAAAAATGTGAAATATTATTATCCCGCAGGTTACCTGACGGGTGAGTCCAGCACACAGCGCCTCATGTGAGGGATGAGCAGTCCCGTACTGACTACTGACCCGTACTGACTACTAACCCGTACTTACTCATACTGACCCATACTGACTACTGACCTGTACTAACCTGTACTGACTACTGACCCGTACTGACTACTAACCCGTACTTACTCATACTGACCCATACTGACTACTGACCTGTACTAACCTGTACTGACTACTGACCCGTACTGACTACTAACCCGTACTTACTCATACTGACCCATACTAACCTGTACTGACTGTAGCTGGTCTGATATGAGTTGCTCACTGTCTGGTCTTTCTGCTGCGGTTTCTGCATCTGCTGGTTCTGATGTCTGCTTGCTTCCTCTCTCTTTCTCTGCGCTCTTCATTTCCTCTCTCTCGCTCTCCTCAGGTGTGTCCACTCCGTCTCTCCTGGCGGGCAGCAGTCCGCTGCGCAGTGGGCTTTAGTAGCTCACTTGGTTTTTCCCAGCCTCTTCTTTATTACTGTAAAGCAGGTAGACTCTCCTCTGATGGCTTCATCTCTCTTTCTGCTTCATTTCATACTCATTTCCATCTGTGTTTCCACTGTTCACGTGTAGCGCTGATGCTGCTTTAGCTGTAATGAGTGTTTTCCATTGAAGGTCACATTCACAGCCAGATATCAGTAGAACATTTCATCCACATCTGTGAAGTTCCAAATGGAAAATGTCATCATTTACTAAAGCTACATGATTAATCAAAATAAAACCGAAATCGTGATGTGGATTATGGCAAAGCCTGCAATTTGATAAACTAAATATCTGCGCTGTGTTTCAGTGAATCGTGTCACTGTGTTCATTTACACGTGAGCAGCTCATGATCCGCCGGTGTTTTTAGCGTCTCAGAGCATCTCGGCTCACAGTGAATGATCCACTCCATCTGCAGCTGTGATGAGATCGAGTCGCTTTAACATGCATTTGGGAATGAAACACACACCAAACATCGTGACAAACTTGTAATGAGAAGCACTTATAATTAGAGATGCACCGATTGCAATTTTCTTGGCCGATTCCGATTTTTTTTGGAAGTGTGACCTGCCTATACTGATTTTTGCAGATTCAGATTTTCTTTCTAAGAACTATAATTGACAGCATACACAAACAAAAATCTACTTTTTTCAATGCAAAAAAAAAAAAAATTACATCATAAAAGAAAATATTAAACATTACAATTCCCCCAATTACAATTCCCCCAATCTGGACTGAGTTACAGATGTTCTCTCAAAATAAAGTGCTCTGTGACTGGAAAGAGGTAAAAATGAGTTGCTGTATGTAACAAAACAGATGTCATATCCCACCGTTTATAAATAGTCATTTTTTCCCCCTAACCTTATTAAATGTGTCATCTTTCACATCAAATTTTTACATTGTTTCAATGAATTCAGGTAAAATAAGAAACTGTAGATTTGTTACCATTCAAATCAAATCAGTATGAACAAACTCCATCTTTCCACTGCAGAGGAAACAGAAGCTGCATCTGAAGTGGCATTAGATGTGTTTACAGACTGTTTGATGAAGCTGTGCTGCCTTAAATGCATTTACACCACAACATTCCAAATGCATAAATAATTGTATAAGATTAATGTTTTAAATAATTTTTTGAACAAACAAATAAGAAATGTTGGGAAAAATGCAATGATACTTTTAAATATGAAACCAAAGCAGCAATAGGAGGCGGCAAATTACTGTTTTAATGAGTGAGTCATTTAGTCCTTCATTCAACCGATTCGTTCAGATGGCTGATTCGTTCAGGAACGAGGCAAGTGACTCTTTATGAATGGATCACTGAATCATTGACTCACTCGATTCGTTCAAAAACGCAGATTGATTCAGTAACGAAACAGCATTGTGTTACACGGAGACACAAAACAGTTCTGCTGTGGCTTTGGAACTATTTTCATCAACGAATTGGAGCAAAAACAGTCAATATTGTCACTTAATTTTAACTTCTTGTTTATTGAACGACTATTGTATAAAATCAGTGTCACATTGCAATCATGCTGATATTCGGGGAAACATCTTGGTCGTGTAATGTTGCTTACCTATATCATATATTATAAATATCTTTTTTTTTTTTGCATCTATAACTTTCTGTGAGTGCTGTTGCGCGCTTTTGATTTGATTTCTGGACGTCTCCCTCTCACTCAGAGCCTCTTCTGGCATGATATAAATGCATCATCAGTCTCCATTTACACTGAATGCAGTAAAATCACAATCATTCTCACGTGAAAATTTTTGGTGCTTCCCTGTTTTTTTTTTGTTTTTGTTTGTTGTTTTGTTTGTTGTTATGGACGTTTTAATCAGGCTTCTTGTCTGGTCAGGCAAGTACATTTCTCACTCACTTGCCCCTTTAAAAAAATCATCTAGTCCCAGACGAGCGTTAATCGAGCCCTGTGGTTCCCCACGGTTTACTTTGGCCCTTCATGTATTACAAACTGCGAACTTGGTGTCTTCTTCACTCACAGTGAAGAACTTCCACACTGACGACATGTTTACATGCGGTCTGTGAGCGTCTAATTCTGTCTAATTCTGTTCCCTGGCCGGCCGATCGGTGCATCTCTACTGATAATCGTGAAATGGTGATGATGATGATGATGATGATGCTGTGTGATGTGTGTGATGATAGTGTGTGGTGTGTGATGATGACGATGATGTGTGTGGTGTGTGATGGTGCTGATGGTGTGTGGTGCTGATGGTGGGTGGTGTGTGTGTGATGATGCTGATGGTGTGTGGTGTGTGTGATGGTGTGTGATGATGATGATGATGCTGTGTGATGTGTGTGATGGTGGTGTGTGATGATGATGATGATGATGATGCTGTGTGATGGTGGTGTGTGTGATGATGATGATGGTGATGCTGTGTGATGTGTGAGATGATGATAATGGTGATGATGATGATGGTGTGTGTGATGGTGAGTGTGATGATGCTGATGGTGTGTGGTGTGTGTGATGCTGATGGTGTGTGGTGTGGATGATGCTGATGGTGTGTGGTGTGTGTGATGATGATGGTGTGTGATGATGCTGATGCTGATGGTGTGGTGTGTGTGATGGTGTGTGATGATGATGATGATGATGGTGTGTGGTGTGTGTGATGGTGTGTGATGATGCTGATGCTGATGGTGTGTGGTGTGTGATGATGCTGATGGGGTGTGGTGTGTGTGATGGTGTGTGATGATGCTGATGCTGATGGTGTGTGGTGTGTGATGATGCTGATGGGGTGTGGTGTGTGTGATGGTGTGTGATGATGCTGATGCTGATGGTGTGTGGTGTGTGATGATGCTGATGGGGTGTGGTGTGTGTGATGGTGTGTGATGATGCTGATGCTGATGGTGTGTGGTGTGTGATGATGCTGATGGGGTGTGGTGTGTGTGATGGTGTGTGATGATGCTGATGCTGATGGTGTGTGGTGTGTGATGATGCTGATGGGGTGTGGTGTGTGTGATGGTGTGTGATGATGCTGATGCTGATGGTGTGTGGTGTGTGATGATGCTGATGGGGTGTGGTGTGTGTGATGGTGTGTGATGATGCTGATGCTGATGGTGTGTGGTGTGTGATGATGCTGATGGGGTGTGGTGTGTGTGATGGTGTGTGATGATGCTGATGCTGATGGTGTGTGGTGTGTGATGATGCTGATGGGGTGTGGTGTGTGTGATGGTGTGTGATGATGCTGATGCTGATGGTGTGTGGTGTGTGATGATGCTGATGGGGTGTGGTGTGTGTGATGGTGTGTGATGATGCTGATGCTGATGGTGTGTGGTGTGTGATGATGCTGATGGGGTGTGGTGTGTGTGATGGTGTGTGATGATGCTGATGCTGATGGTGTGTGGTGTGTGATGATGCTGATGGGGTGTGGTGTGTGTGATGGTGTGTGATGATGCTGATGCTGATGGTGTGTGGTGTGTGATGATGCTGATGGGGTGTGGTGTGTGTGATGGTGTGTGATGATGCTGATGCTGATGGTGTGTGGTGTGTGATGATGCTGATGGGGTGTGGTGTGTGTGATGGTGTGTGATGATGCTGATGCTGATGGTGTGTGGTGTGTGATGATGCTGATGGGGTGTGGTGTGTGTGATGGTGTGTGATGATGCTGATGCTGATGGTGTGTGGTGTGTGATGATGCTGATGGGGTGTGGTGTGTGTGATGGTGTGTGATGATGCTGATGCTGATGGTGTGTGGTGTGTGATGATGCTGATGGGGTGTGGTGTGTGTGATGGTGTGTGATGATGCTGATGCTGATGGTGTGTGGTGTGTGATGATGCTGATGGGGTGTGGTGTGTGTGATGGTGTGTGATGATGCTGATGCTGATGGTGTGTGGTGTGTGATGATGCTGATGGGGTGTGGTGTGTGTGATGGTGTGTGATGATGCTGATGCTGATGGTGTGTGGTGTGTGATGATGCTGATGGGGTGTGGTGTGTGTGATGGTGTGTGATGATGCTGATGCTGATGGTGTGTGGTGTGTGATGATGCTGATGGGGTGTGGTGTGTGTGATGGTGTGTGATGATGCTGATGCTGATGGTGTGTGGTGTGTGATGATGCTGATGGGGTGTGGTGTGTGTGATGGTGTGTGATGATGCTGATGCTGATGGTGTGTGGTGTGTGATGATGCTGATGGGGTGTGGTGTGTGTGATGGTGTGTGATGATGCTGATGCTGATGGTGTGTGGTGTGTGATGATGCTGATGGGGTGTGGTGTGTGTGATGGTGTGTGATGATGCTGATGCTGATGGTGTGTGGTGTGTGATGATGCTGATGGGGTGTGGTGTGTGTGATGGTGTGTGATGATGCTGATGCTGATGGTGTGTGGTGTGTGATGATGCTGATGGGGTGTGGTGTGTGTGATGGTGTGTGATGATGCTGATGCTGATGGTGTGTGGTGTGTGATGATGCTGATGGGGTGTGGTGTGTGTGATGGTGTGTGATGATGCTGATGCTGATGGTGTGTGGTGTGTGTGATGCTGATGGTGTGTGGTGTGTGTGTGATGGTGTGTGTGATGATGCTGATGCTGATGGTGTGTGTGATGCTGATGGTGTGTGTGATGATGCTGATGGTGTGTGGTGTGTGTGATGATGATGGTGTGTGTGATGATGCTGAATGATTGTGGTGTGTGTGATGGTGTGTGATGATGATGATGATGATGGTGTGTGGTGTGTGTGAGATGCTGATGGTGTGTGGTGTGTGATGATGATGATGGTGTGTGTGATGATGCTGATGCTGATGGTGTGTGATGATGATGATGGTGTGTGGTGTGTGTGGTGTTCAGGTCCAGGAGTGGCAGGTTATCTGACAGCAGGCAGCGGCTCTACAGTCATGCCGAGTGTCCCGCCGCCCGTAGACAACGACACCGGAGACTCATGAAACACCAGACAAACCCGGACACAGACAGACCGCTCTCCGGAGCGCCGCCATCCTGATCCTGATCCTGATCCTGAGCAGAGAAGATGGAGTGACAGACAGACAGACAGCCAGACAGAGAGAGAGAGAGAGAGAGAGCGTTCATCATCCTCCCGCACAGCACTTCACTGACTCCTGCGTTTTAACACTTCCTCTTTCATTTTATATCCAGTCACATCTCGTAAATAATTTCTTACCATGGAGAGTAACATAGTTTACTTTTGTATTGAGGTATTTTTATGCATTTGTCTTCGTTTCGGTGAGCTGATGAATGGCGGCCATGTTGGCTCTGATTCGTTGTCTTTTCTTGTCTCTTCGTCTTCCTGCGTCTCACATTCAGCTCATGTCTGGACTTATATCTGTCCCCGTCTCAACATGCTTTCCATTTTATTAAATGCTTCATGCATCTCTCTGTTCTTATTTTTATTCTGAAGTCCTCGAGTAAGTGCTTGCAATCAGAAGGAAAGAGAAGCTTGAGAAGGAACCTGTCGAACCGTGATTATTGATCATGAATTTGTGCCGCACTGCTTGAAATCTGTCCTGGTTTGTCTCTCGTCTCATCGTCCTGTAAACCGACAAAAACCTTCCTTCCCCAGAAAGCACTCGACTATTTATACCTGAATAAATAAAGACCAACTGAAAACGAGCGTCTGAAAGAACAAATTGTACTGACTGATTACAAATGTATGTGAAAGACTAGTGCAATTGTGAAATGTTAAATGTAATATGCATACATAAACTTTCTATATTGAATGTACATTAATAAAAAGTAAATCAGTTGCACTTGTACATAAAATTTTAAGAATAAAAGGGAATCCGCAGCTGTTGGCTTTTTGTTTTTTTTTATTGATGCTCTTTATATGATAAGGAAGAATGAATCTCATTTTCCCCAGACCACTGAGAAACACAAGATCAGCTCAGGTTTGGTTCTCTCATGCTGTTGTGTGTGAATATACATATATATATATAGAGAGAGAGAGACATTGTGTTCAGCTTATTTGATACAGTGATGGAAAAAATATATTGCAATCCTTTTGCATTCATTTGCCAAACTTAAAGAAAAAGAGAAAAAAATCAAAGTGCACTAAACCCGTTTAACCAGTGTTTATGATTACAGAAATAAAATAATGTGATAATACCAGTTTACAACATCAAGCAGCAGAACGGATTGTTTTTTGTACAGATAAATAACTGGACGACTCGCACATTCAGTTTAAACACATCTGCTCTTACATTAAAGATCAGGTGGATAAAAGAGTGTGATGGTCAGGTTCATGCATTATATTGCGTGTCCACACGAGGGCGACATATCTACATCTTTACTGCACCTAAACTAACTAACCAGCATGATGCATTAGTTTCCAGAAGCCCGTGTTAATCCACACAAGCGAGCATTCAGTGGTCAGTTTTGATGTGGAACCATCAGCCGGAACATCTGAGCTGAGCGTCTGTCTGTCATCAGTGTTGTGTTACTCAGTAAGGCGTGTGTGAGGTGTGTGTGTGTGTGTGTGTGTGAGAGAGAGTGTGTGTGTGTGTGTCCTCACACAGTTTTCCCATCAGCCTTTGCCAGTGCAGGCCTGGGACTTTACAGCAATCGCTGTGAGCTTCAGGCATGTCCTCTGTCATGAGTTTAAAAATATGCAGATTTTGTTGGATTTAGTTAATCATATTGTTTACATATTGTTTATGTTTCATTTCGAGTTTGATTAATTTGATTAGACTGGCTGAATTAATGAAAGTGTTTTTAATTGATCCTTACTAAGAGCAGCCAGAATGAAACATGATATAATCACATTTTCAGTGAAATCTTGCAAAAATCCACTCCTTTGGACTGTATTTCCACGCTGAACAACACAAAGCATTTACACCTGTGAAATGTCGCCTAAATTTCATTAAACAGTGGATTTTATCAATGAAACTTGTGCTGATTAGCTTTCGACCTTCATGCATCAGTAAATGAAGCAAAGCTGGAGAGATTGAGGATGGATTTATCGCGCAGATCTTGCTCTGTCTCCATCAAGTTCTGCCGTTTCTATTTCACTTTCAGGGGAACTCAAAGCCTTCAGAGACCTCGGGATGCTTCTTATCCTCTTTTCTGTTGTGTTCGGTTTTGGCTGTCGTTGTATATTTGAGAATATGGTCATTCAGAAATACTGCATGTGTCCTGGATTGTCATGATGACAAGAATTGGTGTTTCGCCCCGTGATAGCACTATTGTGTACTGCACTGGTTAGTTGTGTGGTGTCTGACAGACGGACTCAGTGTGTCCTCGTCAGCCCGGGAACAACACTTTCAGTCGCTGGTTGGGTTCAGTCACGGAACTCATGTCATAGTCATATTTCTGGACTAATGTTCCTGAAAGAAGTCGCTTCTGCTCACCAAGACTGTGTTTATTTGATCAGAAATACAGTACAAACAGTGAAATATTATTAGAATGTAAAACAGCTGTGTTCTATGTGAATCTCTGTTAAACTGTAATGTATTTCTGTGATGCGCAGCTGTATTTTCAGCATCATTCCTCCAGTCTTCAGTGTCACATTATCTTCAGAAATCATTCTAATCGTTATATCTCACAGTGTGACTATATGTATCTTGCAAAACTTCATGAATCATATTTGCTTGGAAAAACACAATAATTACTGACTCTTTGAAGACGAGTAGTTGTTGTAAATTCATCTTTTGCTGCTTCACTTGTTGCCATCCAGTATGCAGAGCACATGTGAGGATTTCTCCTGACCTTTGACCCGGTGATATCGAAACGAGCTTCAGGAGCCGTCTTGATTTAATACCAGTTGTGCATGAAAGACACACACGAGATAAATATTGCCATTGCTCTCAGCAGCGCAGTGTTTTTACAGCAGTCAGTCTGAATCTTTGTCATTAACTCATTAGGCGTCGTCCTGAGCTGAAGATCTCGAGGGACGACTCCAGTCCTGCAGGCTTCTGATGCACACTCACAGCTCAGATGGCATCAGGAGGAAGGCGTGAGTGTGTCTGAGGAACAAGAGAAACTAGCGTGTGATGAATCCCCAGAGAGCCACTGACCGTGTGTCAGCACCCTGCTGCAGGACACTAGAGGAGTCTGGGAGTGTCCGGCCGCAGCGTGACTGTTTAACATCTGTCCTACTGAAGAACAGAACATACGTGGACTAGGTCTTATTTAGTCCAAGAGTAAGTGTTCATTTTTAAGACATACTGGGTAAAGTCTTTCGGAATTCAGAGTAAGACTGATCAACACTACACTACAGTCGTTTACCTGTTTTCCAGTGCAGGAAATATATAAAGAACATATAGAAATCAAAATACTTCTTTACAGAATATACCTTGAATTAAGTTGGTATTGGTATATATATATATTTAATGCTTTAATCATTAATCTATAATATATAGTTTTATAAATTGTATTAATTATTGATTTATTTACATTTTTATAATTAATATATATATATAATGAATAAGAAAGTAGTATTGAAGTTTGAGCTCTGAGTTTTGAGCGTGTGTCTGTCAGGACTGATCAGAGAAGTGCGCACCTGTTCATGTTTTCTGTCATCATCATGTGTCTGTACACCTGGCTTTGACCTCTGACCTTTGAGAGGCTCGTGTTTCTGTCTAGAGAGAGGCTGCTGAAGGGAGCTCTTTATGCTCAGAAATCTGCATCCGTCGTTGAAATGGATGTACTTTCATTTTGTAACTCGGCTGCAGGACACACATTTCAGGGTTTGCCGCTGGACTGTGAGCTTTACTCTGGAAAACAGAGAACATCGCAGCGTTAAACTGCTGTTTACAGTCACATGTGAGAGTTGTAGGGGTCACGCTCACTTAACCCTTTGGGTTCTTTTGCCAAATAAGTTTGTAATTGCTGCTATGGTTTGCACATATTTGTTGTTGAAGTGTTTCTAATGCCCTGAAGCCTTTGCCGCACATGAAGGTGTGTTCTGTAGTCCAGATCGGTCAGACGTCCCAGCGTTCGCTGGAGTCTTATATCATTACAAGCATCTCAGCAGATCCTCAGACTCTTTCATCTTAATGACCTCTATCTTCTAACGCAACAGAACTAACAGGAACAAACAACTCGCTTTCATTTCCTCCGCGCCGAATCGCTCAAAGTGATTTGTGAGTTTGTACTCCCAGTTGTGACTTGTTACCGTTAAATTACACAAACCATTTTCTCATCTGGCCAACACGGTTTGAGAAGTGTAGGTCTTCCTCAAAGGACAAAGAACAGAAGACTTTCATCCGGTTCACTGATTCAGAACATGAGTGCAGAGGAGGTTCGTTCTGATTCAGCTGGAGCCGATCGCTGAGTGAAGGAGCTATGAGTGTTAATACAGCGCTGAAGCTATGAAGCCTGCCTGGTTCGTGTGAGATCAAGTTAAAATAAGAAGTAACATTATGAGATCACTTGGTAAAGTTACAGTTGCAAGACCTAAATTCACATTGTGAGATATAAAGTAGCAATTATGAGAAAAAATTGCAATTGCAAAATATATACTCACACTCCTACATACATATAGTCACGATTACGAGAAAAGCTGCAGTTGTGAAATACATAGTCCCCTAATGAGATATAAAGCTGCAGTTATGAAAAAAAATCCACCTCTTTCTAGCCCATTTTTTTTTTTTTCTGAGTTTACAATTTGCTGTCCATTATTATTAAAGAAGACGGAGTTTTCCCAACACTTCCGGTGTCAACATGTCCAGTGATCCCAGACGCTCCAGGCTAAATCCTTCATCACAGAAGCCTAAATCTGGACTACTGTAAATGAATCCGGTTATTCTGGATATCAGATGACCTGCAGTGAAGTAAACCTGAAGTAACCCTCCTGTCAGCCTCTACAGACCAGTGCTGTTTAAATCGAGCCCAGATGAGAAGCTTTTATTTACCCACGAGGCCTTTCAGCAGACTTTGAAAGATGTATGGTGTTTACATGGCACACGCGGCCTCAGAATACAAGACAGATTCATTTCATTGAAGAATATTGATGC